TCCTCCTCCTCCTCCTCCTCCTCCTCCTCCTGCTCCTCCTCCTGCTCCTCCCGGGGCGGGGGGGCACAGATGTGGGTGCAGGTGGGTGAGCTGCGGGGTGTGGGGAGCACTGCGGGTGCCGGTGCTGCTGGAGGAGGCTGGGGTCCCCTCTGGGGCTGAGCTGTCACCCACGGGGAGCCTGAGAGCTGCACACCCTTCACACCCACGGGGCACTGGCAAGGAAGTGAAGAGGCAAATCCAAAACATTGCATCACGGCGAGGGAGTTGTTTTCTTCGGTTTGTTTTTCTCCTCAAGAAAAAACCAGGCTTTTTTTGCGGCTCTGACTCATGCTTTGTGACCTCTGACATCACCACGGCTCTGCTGGGTGCTTTGCTCTGCAGGTAAAACCAAGTAGGCAAAGGTTCGCTTCTGTACTGGGTAGTTCTTAAAAATATGCTTTTATCTTACCACAAAAATACATTTAGTAGAAGTTATTAAGAAGCCTGGCTTAAAAAAACCTGCTAAAGCACGATATAAAGTTTTTTTGATTTTTTTTTCTGCATTAATATAATTATTAGATTCTATCAGTCCAAAAACCTTCTGACCTACAAAACCGAAATATAATAACGGGTACATAGCATGGAGCAGGGCCCAAAGGGTAAATACTGAAAGGTATTTTGGTGTTAAAATACGAACTAGGCACCCTGTGAGGTTGTTCAAAAGCAATTCACAGGCGCAGGGCTTCCCTCCCGGTGAAACCCAGAGCACTGCACCTCTGGAGAGCCTCCGGCACCCAAAGACCCCTCCGAAGCACTGACCTGCAGACGTGACTGGGCTTGCCTGCCCCTGAAAGACAAAAGCCTCGTGTTTGTGCAGCAGCTAAACGTTAGGGGACAAAGAAAACAGCTTCTGGAGAAACTAAACAAGGGTTTAAAAAACAAAAGCAGTCACCGTGCATCTCCTGGGATAGTCTTGCGAAGCTAATCTGCTTCACGCAAAAGGAGGAGTTCAGCTGTCGAAGCTGTGCGTACATAAAGGATTATTCCTACGACAGAAAGACATAAACCAGATTAACAGAGCTTTAAAGAGCTGAAGTATCAAAGTAAAAGCAAACCCTGGCACAGATGGGAGGCTGGGGCAGCGTGCTGTGTGTCAGGAAAGGGGAGCTGCCGTTCAGAGCGGAGCCGGGAGGGAGTGAGCCTCCGGGCAGAGGGGTGCTGATGGGCAGTTCCGTGTTCCCGGGCTACGGGGAGCAGCGTTCGGACCCTCTGCTCAGGCCAGAGCAGGCGTTTGATGAAAAAGGGCTGCAGTGAAAAATGCTTCGTCTGTGACAAAGGGACCCTTTGGAAGAGCCCCATACACAGGGGCACTGAGAAGGGCTGCTGACAGACAGGCCACCTCGCAAGGAAGCGGGGAGCAGCGCTGCGCCGGAGCGTAGGTGAAGCTTTCGGTGGTGTGTGCCATGGGGAAGGCTCCGGCTGCCAGCGCTGCCTGCAGGCAGGGTGCTGGGTGCTGCTTTCAGTCTCTCCATGTCTTGTACCAGAAGATGGCACCAGCCAAGAGTCGTGGCCCTGCACCAACGGCAGAAATTCAAGTGTTAGCCCGAGATTTTATTTTTAAATTGCTCTCGGATACGTGTGACCAAAGAGCAGAGCGCAAAACCACTTGTGCACCAGCAAAGGTTTGGACGGGCTGATCACGGGAAAAGCTCCATTAAGAATCTTGCAGCCCAGCACGCGTTTTCTGCTGTTTGGAAAGGAAAAAGTCAGTGCCTCTGCCTGCCAGGCTGACTCTGTCGCCAGGCGTGCCGGAGGAAGAGCCGCGTTGCTCTGAGGTGAGCTCTTCGCAGGACCCTGCCACGGCTGATTCAGTTGGCCGGTAAGGGTGATTTACAGTTACACTAATTTAACTCTCAAGGTGAAGTAAGCTAAATTGAATTAAGATCACGTTAATTCTGATTAAGAGTGTCTTTGTATGGGTGTAGTGCAGTTTAACTAATCCACTTCAGTCCATGCATGTTAGGTTATCACTATATCCTGGTACACTTCAGGAAAAAATAAATTCATCCAGAGTGCAAAGTTTGTTAGTAACGGTTTCTGGGATTTTTGAGTGCAAGTGCTCAAAAACTTTCATTTATCAATGTTCTGCACCACAAG